ATAAACTCTTTGAGTGAGGAAAAAGGAGCTTACTCAGATTTTAAGTTTGTAATAAGTGCACTTTTAAAAAATAAAAACCGAAAAACTACAACTGGTATAGACCACTGATTCTTCCCACTCAGTCCCACTTTCTCTTGAATTAGGTGATGTCAGAGAGTCCACAAGGATTTGGGGATCCATCTAAGGGGAAGTTGAGTTGGGGATATGATTAGTTTGGATCTGGTGGGATGGCAGTTAGGTGGTGGGCAGTCATTTCTGTGTACAGTTAAGTCCTTGTGAGCTGTCCAGGTGTAGGAAGGGCGTCCAGCAATGCTCCTGCCACTCACTGTGCAACATGACCCTGGCTATACAGGGTCAGAGGTCTTATCCTAATATAAATGATTCCCAAAATACCTGGGAGTATGTGAGTGGCTGGAGATAAAGAAGTATCTATGTAGGGCCGGCCCGTGGCTCACTCGGGAGAGTGCGGTGCTGATAACACCAAGGCCCCGGGTTCGGATCCCACATAGGGATGGCCGGTTCGCTCACTGGCTGAGTGTGGTGCTGACAACACCAAGTCAAGGGTTAAGATCCTCTTACCGGTCATCTTTAAAAAAAAAAAAAAAAAAAAAAAAAAAAAGAAGTATCTATGTAGAACAAGAAGCAATTTGTGCAAAATCCTTTCAATCATCACATGTATAAATTGTCATTTCATATTGACACCAACTCAGAAAGAAAGTTATCTCCTATAAGGAATATGCAGCATATACAACTGTAGGTGCTCCGTGCATAGTTTTCTTTGATAGGAATTACACAAAGTAGAATTTATCAGAATTCCTGCTACAAACCTATAAGCTGTCCCACAAGTAGCGAATACATCTGTATGTGAAATAATATGTTTTATGTATCCCAACTATGAGGAATAAAAGTTGTTTTAATCCATCATGCAAGAGGAAAGACAGAACCATCTCTTTATTCTCACTGTTGAAATTTATTTTATTTATTTATTTTTTGAAGCTGCCAGTACAGGGATCAAATCCTGGACCTTGATGTTAGCAGCACCACACTCTAACCAACAGAGCTAACTGGCCAACTCAGAAATTTATTTTTAAAAATCGTTCCTGGGGCCGGCCCGGTGGCGCAATGGATAGTGCGCCGCTTGGGAAGCACGGCGGTGCTCCCGCCCGAGGGTTCGGATCCCACATACAGACCGGCCGCTCACTGGCTGAGCGAGGCGCGGGAGCGACGCCGAGGGTTGCGATCCCGTTGCTGGTCCCGGTCCGGTACGGGCGCGACACTGAGGGTTGTGATCCGTTGCCGGTCACGGAAAAAGACAAAAAAAAAAAATCGTTCCCCATTAGTATAGTGGTGAGTAAAAAATTTGAAAAGAAAAGAAAAAATAGAAAAAAAATCATTGACAGCTCTACCTGTTTCTCTTCCTTTCTCTTCCTGAAAATTTTAATCCTAAAAGGGTAGAGCAGAACTAGTCTGTGCCAGAAGAGAAGGGAGCCACAGTGGCCCAGAGCAGATGTCAGAGCCCGAGCAGGGCAAAGAGAACATCCATAGAGCTGCAGCCTGGCATGGGTGACAGAGGCTTATCAGGGTGAAGAAGGTCTCTGAGCAGGAGGGGACAGCTTGGCACAAGGCATCACAGTCCAAGTGGGGTGAGGAGGGCAGCTCACAGGCAAGGGAGTGATGGTGGAGATGGGAGAGTGGTTACAAACAGGGCTTGATCAAGTAAGTAAACAAATTAAGAATAATGGACACCAGGTTTCTCAGTGTGTCCATTATTAGAAGGGAGCTATAAATATAGAAAAGGGCAAAAACTAGAATGAACCCTGTTATTTTGGACTGGAATTGGAGATAATAGTCTGAACTCATGGTTTTTTTTTTTTTTTTTTTTTTTTTTTTTTTTTGTGTGTGTGTGTGTGTGTGTGTGTGTGAGAGAGAGAGAGAGAGAGAGAAAGAGAGAGAGAGAACATTCCTTAGCTCTGGGAGGGCCTGGGAGCAGTGGTACCCTAGTAGCAATGGGCTATTCAATGAGCTGTTCTAAATACAGTTCTAGTGCCCAAATCATGGTTTTCAAATACCAGAGGACAAAGGAGTGATCAAAGGATGGGAGCCTGTTAGAAGGACACAGGTTCAAGCTTGAAGGGTCTCCCATTGGTCACATCTGTGACAATCTGAGCATCAAAATAAACAAGGATAGTAACAGATTATGAGCTACCGAATAAAATAGGAGATCTTCCCCTGACCAGCCAGCTGCCAAAGCAAGCAAACAAACAAAAAAATAGAAGCCCATGGGTTCATACATATGTAAATAAACAAAAGCAAGCAAACAAAGTACATACATACATGCAAAGTATGAGGAGGAATGTCTACACAGTTGCACAAAATACTGATTCCTTACCAAGGGGGAAAGAGTAACTACAGTGGAGAAGCAAATATTGTTAGGCACTTGATGAGTAAAATTATTTTATTTTTCTCCTGGGTTTTTTTTTTTTTTTTTAATGATGACCGGTAAGGGGATCTTAACCCTTGACTT